GATCAATCTTATACAAAGTTATGAAAATTGCATGGCCTGTGGCGACTACTGTCTGTCTTGTTAAGCCTTCGAGGTCACTATAAAACCCTCACAGGGAGTCGCTCGGCCACCCATTATATATGCTCATACGGTGCTAAGGTTCGAATCTTTGATGGTGCACGACTTGCGGTTGGATATGTCTGATGGATGACAGCTAGCAAACCAGAAATGGCCATTCTAGTCACCCTTTTCTTCGGCCGGCAAGGTTATTTGCCTACACACGACTTTAGTTTCTCCTTTCACAGACACCCCCACCCTTTTCATGAAAGAAAACAGGTTTTGGTTTTCAAATACCGATTTCCCTCGCCCCTCGCATGTGCACTAGCCTTCAACACGCACAAAGCGGATAAACGAAAAGCGAACAAAACATATCCTCCATTATCTCTCACGTGAGTCCTCGGAATTTGTTTGAACGGCGGACTCGGTGCCCAGCCAGGCAGCCATGGACGCAAGTGCACTGCCGAAACAACCAATCAGATAGCCGGACCGAGAGAGTCGAGGCCAAAAGAGCGTCAGAAAGATACAGCCCGAGGTTGAGCCGGCCAGCGTCAAATTAATCCCCCGCAGCTGCAACTTCAGATCCTGTGTTTGGAGTTAAAACAAAAACAAAAAGCAATCCCTAGTTAATACAGGTTGAATTCTGCTTCATTCAAAAAAGCTCTAGAGCTGTAAATTAAAATACGCGAGAAAGAATAGGAAAAAATTTCATGAGTGACACGTTTTTTTTTTCTTTACCCTATTTTCCTATCTCCTACTACCGGCTAGTACGTATTGCAGTAGCTCAAAGTTACTCGATTCGTCCTCAATAGTCACTGTATTAACAATTTAGATATGTCCGACAACCGAGGAGGCCGGCTTTTGAACTCACGCCCTCTATTTGCCTGCGACAATTGCACTCGAGTAATAAGTAGCAGCTCAATTAGCATGCATGTTTTTTATTACTGAATTAAAAATATGTTCTCTTGCATGTATTTGGTAGCATCTTGAGTCTCCTTTAAACTGCATACACGAAAGAAGCGTATAGGACATTTTTTAAAGGCTTTTATAATTCTCGAATAATATCTGGCCCGATATATCAGAAAGGATGCTGCTGAAGTTAAGCATTACACGTAGGATCAGCACCTTGCCCTCCTAAAAATCTGCCCACGACAAATCCGTAGCGTCTTAGTCCTCCATTATTATGACACAGATAGGGGGTGGGAGGTAAGTTTACAGGCATTATTCTAAACATGCCAAAATTTTGAAAGAGACGGAAGAGGGTACGGAACCTGGCAGATGGGATAGAGGTGGTACGAGTAGAGGAGGAGGCAGCAACGATGATAATGACGATGGTGATGGTGATGCTGGTAGCGGTAGCGGTGGGGGTGGAGAAGAAGAAGAGGAAGAAGAAGAAGAAGAAGAAGAAGAAGAAGAAGAGG